GGGAGAGGACGCGTGAGCTTGGGGGGAGTCCGCAACCGGGAACAGCCGGCTGGCTCGGCGTAAATTTTCCTACCGATTCTGTTTAAAATATTGTTATCTCCTAATGAATGGAATGAATTTCATAAATTTGAAGTCAATCATATCCTTATACATATCCCAACATTTTATAGTAAGTTATATGGGAATCCTCATGCTGAGAGAGGATAAACAGCACATAATATAGCTGCCATGCCGTAAAATTTCAAACTTGGGTTCAGTAAAATCGTAAAGGATCTGAGGCGGATGAACAGATTCGCTTGAAAATGGTTCTGAAGCTTCCCAAGAGACTTCCCCACAGATTGGAGTGTTAATTTTTTTAGATTCCCTCTCGTTCTCGAGAAATGACCATGAATCTGGGATACTATGAAAAAAGAGGGATTTTGAGGTATTTCATCGAACGTCCTGGGAAAATGGATCAATGAATCATTGTGCCCTTTGACAAAAAGACGGACGAGGATGGTCTCCAAAAACTGGAGTATGCTTTTTCCGGTGCAATGTTCCTACGGAGAATGAGCGAGGGAAGAAGCGAATTCGCGAAACGCGAATTTTCACAAAAGGCGCCACGACATCTCGGAAAGCAGAGAGATGAGAAATTTTTTGGACTCATAATTTACCATGTTCTGTGGCGAGGAGGATAGCGCAAATTTGACATGTTTGCGACCAAGGGTCGGGGAGATGCAGATTTTCAAAGAGAGAGACATGAAAATCGTGACCTTTGACCATTCGCCACGGTCAGGTGCTTCACCTGAGAGTGCCAAAAAGTGGCTTCAAAGCCCTCCCTTGGGGTCCTCTACAATAATTATGAGCCAGAATTTGATTCTACGGGGGTCGATTTTCATCTTCCCTTTGTACCTTAAGTGTATTACTACATCTGTTAGCTAATCAGTAGAATTATTCAAGGTGATCCATGTAAAGAAACGAAGGAAAAAATCCTTTTAAAAATGGTGTTCTGAGTAAGGATGAGAAAAATGTTCCCTGAGTTTCAAGCTGGAATGCAGGATTTCTCTCTTGAATCAAACCATGACCTACAGTAGACCTCAGGGAAAGGTGTCTAACATGCGACGAACGATACATGTTTATGCCCTTCACTTGGATTCCTTATTATTTGTGCCAGCTTCGTTCCGTTATGAAGTTCAGAGCATATTCATGAGTTTTGTGAACGCCGGACCGAAGCCATATTTCTCTGCTGTCACCCGTACTGACAGCACATTTCTGACATTTCGCTTAAAACTTTCAGCCCCGGCTATTTGTAATTGCTATTAGCATAGGACGTCGTATGACGGCTGCAAGGCACAATGTGTTAAGTGGCCCACCAGTATAACAGTATAAAAGGTTGTTGCGCTTGGGTTGGAAAATACGAATTTTCCTGTTGACATTTATTGGTTAGTTAAGCTGCATGCCTAAGCTACATCCTAACCTCAATAGCCTTTTCAGTTTATTCTCGTTGTTTTTCATTTTTAAATTTGATTTTCATTATTTCATTATTTTACTGCGTTTCTTTCAAACACTTTCATGGCACCCTGTTGAATTTGTTACTCTCTATGGAACAGGCAAGAGCAGCATGGTCCTTCGGGCAAACTTATGGAAGCATTAAATCTCCCCTTTCCAGAACAAACTTTTATGTTGTGCGTCACAAACTTTGTTGCTACTCGGATTATTATTAGCATATTTTTTATGAGACCAGAAATGATCAGGAGAACACGATTGGGACATTGGGTGGGAGTAATGGCCGACGCACAACGACTGCGAAGTGCTCCGGCAAAGCCGCATTGCGACCGTATACGAAGCATCTTCCACTCTGGTCGCAGAGCACCCAAACGAAGTCCATCTTGGTTATGTACAATTTGAGAGCTCGTGCTGCAACGCTTTTGCTTTTTTGCGTCCCCAGGAGGAAAAGCTTTCGATGATGATAGGTACAGGGTGTACATCCCGTAACCAGTTGGGAGAATCCGCGACCCTTTTAGCAAATAACATTACCGAAGGCAAAGAGTGTTTTTCTCCTATGTCCACAAGAATGCCTCCTGAGCAGTGCAATACCCTTTTTCATTTGCTGAAAGAGAGGGCAGTACACAAATTTCTAACCATGCATTTCCCTGCGCAAGTGGTGGCAGTGACATTGATTTCGGAAAATGCATACAATATATAAATATAAATTATCTTCATATCTCAAATACGTACAAATCATACTGCACTCTACTGAAGACGACGCAAGTTTTGCGCTCGAAGAACAAGTACTTCTCACCTTAACACATTCACTGCCAATCACGGCATATGCCGTTTTCATGCATCCCTTCGCTTAGCCTATGGCCGAGGAAGTCATAGCCTGTAAGGCTTCGCGCGTTAGGCTAAGATCGCAGAGATTTTCTAAATGGCCGAAATGTGCATCGCAGTGAATAAAGAGTTAAAATTAATATTCATGTATCGAAAGAATGGAAAATAAACAGGAATATCACTGACATCAAGATCTTTCTTGGATATTTATCTGCTGTAATTATACGAGGTCTGATCAAAAAGTATCCGACCACATTTTTTTTCTTTTTAACAAGAAGACGCTTGAGGCCGGGGAGTAGGGTGCGTGTGACCTTGAACCTCCGTGCGCATGTGTGAATTATTAATCGTCGCTCGGACTGCTCAGTTACCTTCAATCAGTCAAAATCTATTGTTGTGCGTTTTCTGCGCGTCGCATTGACGATGACTGAGAAAATTGAGCAGCGCATCTGCATCAAGTTTTGCCAGAAACTTGGGCATTCATGCTCAGAAACATACGGTATGATTCAGAAGGCTTTTGGGAATGAGGCAATGGGCCAAACGCAAATTAAGGAATGGTTTAGGTGGCTCAAAGAAGGACGGACGTCAGTGGAGAGAGATGAACGCTCAGGGAGGCCACCCACGAGCAGGAACCAACAGATGATTGACAAAGTGCGTGCTGCCGTGCGAGAAAACCAGAGGATAACAATTAGAGAGCTGTCCGATGAGTTGGGGATTTTGTTTGGTTCTGTACAGTCCATTCTGACAGATTTGGCTATGAAACGCGTCTCAGCAAAATTTGTCCCAAAACTGCTGACAGTCGAGCAGAAGGAAGCTCGCCTTGCGGTAGCCAGAGATTTGCTGCAGTGTGTTGATCAAGACGCAAACTTCATGAAAACAATAATTACCGGTGATGAATCGTGGGTCTACGGTTACGATCCGGAAACCAAAGCCCAGTCATCACAATGGAAGACTCCTTAATAACCGAGGCCAAATAAGGCTCGCCAAGTTCGAAGCAAAGTCAAAGTGATGTTGACTGTTTTCTTCGATCACAAAGGCGTCTTTCACCATAAATACCCACCAGATGGCCAAACTGTAAACAAGGAGTACTACGTCGAAGTTCTCCGGCGGCTGCGTGATGCGGTGCGGCGCAAGCGACCTGCGTTGTGGGAGAGGGGCGACTGGCAGCTGCACCATGACAACGCCCCCGCCCACTCGTCACTGTCCAGAACTTCTTGGCCAAACATCGAATCCTGCAAGTTCCGCAGCCGCCCTCACCAGACATGGCTCCGTGTGACTTTTTCCTTTTCCCAAAGTTGAAAATGCCATTGAAGGGGAAGCGGTTGGCTATTCCACAAAGCGAGTTCCAAAAGTGTTTTGAACAATGGAAGGACCGCTGGAACAAGTGTGTGATGTCAGAAGGGGCCTACTTTGAAGGGGATTAGGACCGCAAAACCGTAGTTTAGAGAGTTTTTTTCCCTGCCATTGGTCGGATACTTTTTGATCAGACCTCGTATATATCGATGTCGTTCATGGAGAATCAATGGTGATGATTGGCATCATCTACCGTCGAAGTCACTCCACAAAAAGAGCTGACAAATCATTTATATGTATCAAAGGATTTAATTACCTACAATCAATAGATACACAGCACATACCACTGCGGAGTTTCGACAGGAAATGACCCGTCCGGTTCGGATACGAAGAACATTGCGACCGTCTGCGAAACGCATTGCAAATGTCTGCGATGGTCCCAGGCATCTCTAATGCGACCGAGTGCAACGAAGTGCGACGATCGCAGTGGTCGCCACATGCATCATGAAGAATGCATGCATATACAGAGATAGCAAAATTATTCTTTGCTAGAACCGGTACCGGTTTTTTTAATATTAAATCGAACCTGACAATATCAAATTTCTGAATGTCCCAACATGAGAGATAGACAAAGAATATAAATGAATCATATATAACCACATCTATGTTTCCTCTGGGCAAGTTTCCCTCTTATTTATTAGAGTTGAGCAGGTAGAGCATGAAAACACCATCTGTAAAACACATATGCTCCTTCTAACTTTAGTTATGGAAAGTATAATGATTTCTTATATGTTTCAGATAGTCGTGAAACATATGCCGCTTGAGATATCTTTCTACAAGCAACGAAATCTGTCATTGTTACCATGTGTTCTGTTTAACCTCTCAACTGCTTGTTTTTCTTCATTGTGAATTTCTCGTATCGCTAGGTTGCTTGGAATGGAAACAACTGGGCCATGGGATGCGATTTCAAAGGAAAAAATTTGTCCAGTGCTCAAGTACCTGCTGAAGATTGTGGTGGAAAATGCGCTGCCACACAAGGATGCACTCACTTCACCTGGACTACATTTAATGGGGGTACTTGCTGGATGAAGAAAGGCCCAGTTTCTAAAAACGATTCTTTTGCAACTGGTGACAATACCATGGTTTGTGGCGTTACGGATTCTGCTGGCAATAGTGGTGGTGGCAGTATTGCTTGGAATGGAAACAACTGGGCCATGGGATGCGATTTCAAAGGAAAAAATTTGTCAAGTGCTCAAGTACCTGCTGAAGATTGTGGTGGAAAATGCGCTGCCACACAAGGATGCACTCACTTCACCTGGACTACATTTAATGGGGGTACTTGCTGGATGAAGAAAGGCCCAGTTTCTAAAAACGATTCTTTTGCAACTGGTGACAATACCATGGTTTGTGGCGTTACGGATTCTGCTGGCAATAGTGGTGGTGGCAGTATTGCTTGGAATGGAAACAACTGGGCCATGGGATGCGATTTCAAAGGAAAAAATTTGTCAAGTGCTCAAGTACCTGCTGAAGATTGTGGTGGAAAATGCGCTGCCACACAAGGATGCACTCACTTCACCTGGACTACATTTAATGGGGGTACTTGCTGGATGAAACAAGGCCCAGCTTCTAAAGATGATGCTTACGCAATAGTTGATATATCCACGGTGTGTGGTTTAGTGGGACAAACTCCTCCAACTGGACAGGCTGGAACTACCACTAGATACTGGGATTGCTGCAAACCCAGCTGCTCATGGCCTGGCAAAGTTTCTGGATCCAATGCTTTTGTGCAAACTTGTAGCAAGGATGGTTTCTCTGTCCTTACCAATCCCAATGCTGGCAGTGGATGTGATGGAGGTGAAGCCTTCGTCTGTAACATTCAGAGACCATGGGCCGTCAATGACCAACTGGCCTATGGATTTGCTGCCGCCACCATTCCAGGCTTGAGTGAACAAGACCGTTGCTGTTCATGTTACAAACTTGTTTTTACCAATGGTCCAGTCCAAGGAAAAACGATGATCGTCCAGGTCACTAACAGCGGAAGTGATGTGAATCCAAATCAATTTGATCTTCAAATTCCTGGAGGAGGCGTTGGAAAATTCAATGGATGCCAGTCACAATGGAACGCACCTCAAGATGGATGGGGCAGTCGATATGGTGGTGTTTCTTCTCGTCAAGAATGTGATAATCTTCCTCCGCAAATTCGAGATGGATGCTACTTCAGATTTGATTGGTTCAGAGGAGCAGACAATCCCTCCATGACGTATTACAAAGTGCAATGTCCCGCTGAATTGATAGGCTTCACTGGATGTTCTCGCTGAGTATGGGAGACTGATTTCTATGACTGTCAATGTATAAAAGTTTCATCTCCAAATATACTGCCTGCGTATTATTATATGCGCATTATAAATTTCAATTTGATTAAAATCTGGGCTCTTTTTCACCAAATGAGACTATGAGGAGTAAGCACGGCTAAGACAGGCGTTTAACCCTTTCAGACCCAGTGTTCAATCCAATGGACATTGCAATACCATTGCGTTTATGGTAAGTTTTTTGGATTCTCATAACTTTTTGTCCCAAATTACACTGAAATGGGCGTAATTACGCATGGCTCAATTCCATCGGAGGCCTTCTCTCACCCTCTTGGAATCTTCAGTTGTGTAGTTACATGCATCATATATAATGTATGGTATTATAAATTTATACAATATATAAAGCAAAAATTTTTAATTAGAATAGCAAAATAGTTGCAAAATGCCCAAAATTACATTATTCCAATAGTGTCTTTAAGGTTTGAAAGGGTTTAAATAGAATTCAAACAAGGAACCAACATTTGCTTTAGATGTGGTTCGCTGAAGAAAAGGTTCAGATAGTATTTGAAACTTTTCATTCAGGTTTGTCTTATCACTTGAAGAGCAGGAAAGAAAAATGGCCTGCATTGAACTGTGAACCTTTGGCAACATCTAGGAGTGTTGATGATCGTTCTATCAGTAAGCTGCTGAAGTTTATGCTAATTTAGATTCCGATGTATTCATCCAAGTAATGGAGCAAGGCCAGTCTGCGACGTTCAGTGATGAATGGCAGCAACGAACACAAAACAATAGGGCTGAAGATTCCCAATTCCTAATATTTACACACTGAGGACCAAGATCGTAGACATGCGTTCCAGGAGAACTTTCACGTTTTCCCCGTCCCAGGAATCTAAAGGTATTTTGTGAATTTTGGTGAATGTTGCAAGAATTTTTGTGTTTGAAACATGAAAGGTAGTTTGCAAGTAATGCATTTTCTTGTAAAATAAATGGTTCTCTAAATTGTTGCTGGCCTCCAGAAGTTGTTAGGCACCCCGTCTTCAATGTGTTAATACTTGTGAATCCTCCTCGAATCCTTTGTGGGCCAGCTCATTCACATTTTCACCATACCCAACTTACTTTCTTTTACCATTGACAAATTCCTGAGAACTCTTTATCTAGCATATCAAGATGTGTCACACCTGAAAAGTGATAATTCAGCGCAATCGAATTTTGTTGCCTCGATACTGATGCTTTGGAGGTAAATGCCCGGGGGCGGGATATATTATTTCAAAATGTCACGTTCTCCAAGAAGTTTATTTCTCCTAACGAATTGGACAAATAGGTGAAACATGTCACACGCATAACTGACGTGATGAGTTCAGGAATAATTCAACTTTTATCGTGCATCCTCTCAGATTCTGATAGCTACATTAGTAACGGACTCAATTCCATACGTTGAACGCCTGACTAAACCTGCTGCAGCCACATGTGATGATTATACGATTGACAAGGGCTTTTACGAAAAGAAAGTTCTAGAGGACAGCTGGATTGCGAGCCTGGCTACTTTTTGATGGCCTGTTGCTTTATAAGCATTCTTGATCATGAAAATTGAGTGTATTTCTCCATATTGCCATATTATTGCCATACATATGTAATATTGCCATATTACATATTGCCATTGTAACATCAAATCACCTATGAGAGTAAGGAGACACCGAACACTACTTTTGAGTTTGTTGATGCCACAGTTGCTATATGAAGAAGATGCAATGACCATCAATGTCCAAAATCTTCTCCATCCTATACAGGGTGTTAAGAAAATTGTGTTCCATCGCAATTTGCATATGACCTCAGCAAAAATGTTTAAAAAAGGCAAGAAATTTTTTAAAATACACAATGACAAAGAGTTAACTGATTTAGCATCGCTTAATAGTTTTCAATATAGCCGCCCGTGGCATGGATGATATGGCTCAGACGACTCATGGAAGCTTAGACTGATTTTCGCAAGACTTCCAGTGGAACTTCCCCCCCTCCCCCCATTCTCGGTTTAGGGATAGCTTTAGAGAATCCAAAGAACAGCGTTTTGTAGCTTATACTTTGCTCTCCTAGGTGGACCAAATTGGAAAATCTAAGTCTGATTTCTTTCAACCCACTCGGCGTTAAGGGGCGGCTTCTGTAATGGTCTGGGCCGGGATTACCGCTTCTGGACGCACTCCGCTCATTTCCGTGCCTGAATAGATGAAGGTCAACGCTGAGGCATACCTGAAGAGCATCCTGGAAGACTGCCTGGTTCCGAGGGCCATGACATATTTCGATGGAGGCATCTGGATCTTCCAGCACGACTCAGCGCTTCCTCACAAGACGCGGATGACCCAATGACTGCGGACAAATATCCCCGACTTCACAATGGTCCCCTTACTCCCCCGATGTCAACCCCCTATTTTTTTCCATTTTGGTCCATCTTGGAGAGCAAAGTGCGAGCTTCAAAGTACCGTTCCTTGGATTCTCTCAAGCTCTCCCTCAACCGAGAATGGAAGAGGATTCCACAGGAAGTCTAGCGAAAATCAGGCAATGCTTCCATGGGTCGTCTGAACCTTGTCATCAGCGCGAAGGGCGGCTACATTGAAAACAAACAAGTGATTCACCGCAAATTCGAGATGGATGCTACTTCAGATTTGATTGGTTCAGAGGAGCAGACAATCCCTCCATGACGTATTACAAAGTGCAATGTCCCGCTGAATTGATAGGCTTCACTGGATGTTCTCGCTGAGAATGGGAGACTGATTTCTATGACTGTCAATGTATAAAAGTTTCATCTCCAAATAGGCTGCTTGCGTATTATTATATGCGCATTATAAATTTCAATTTGATTAAAATCTGGGATCTTTTTCACCAACTGAGACTATGAGGAGTAGGCACGGCTAAGATAGGCGTTTAACCCTTTCAGACCCAGTGTTCAATCCAATGGACATTGCAATACCATTGCGTCTATGGTAAGTTTTTGGGATTCTCATAACTTTGTGTCCCATATTACACTGAAATGGGCGTAATTACGCATGGCTCAATTCCATCGGTGGCCTTCTCTCACCCTCTTGGAATCTTCAATTGTGTAGTTACATGCATCATATATAATGTATGGTATTATAAATTTATACAATATATAAAGCAAACAATTTTAATTAGAATAGCAAAATAGTTGCAAAATGCCAAAAATTACATTATCCAATAGTGTCTTTAAGGTTTGAAAGGGTTTAAATAGAATTAAAACAAGGAACCAACATTTGCTTTAGATGTGGTTCGCTGAAGAAAAGGTTTAGATAGTATTTGAAACTTTTCATTCAGGTTTGTCTTATCACTTGAAGAGCAGGAAAGAAAACTGGCCTGCATTGAACTGTGAACCTTTGGCAACATCTAGGAGTGTTGATGATCGTTCTATCAGTAAACTGCTGAAGTTTATGCTCATTTAGATTCTGATGTATTCATCCAAGTAATGGAGCAAGGCCAGTCTGCGACGTTCAGTGATGAATGGCAGCAATGAACACAAAACAATAGGACTGAAAATTCCCAGTATTTACACACTGAGGACCGAGAGCGTAGACATGCGTTCCGGGAGAACTTTCACGTTTTCCCCGTCCCAGGAATCTAAAGGTATTTTGTGAATTTTGGTGAATGTTGCAAGAATTTTTGTGTTTGAAACATGAATGGTAGTTTGCAAGTAATGCATTTTCTTGTAAAATAAATGGTTCTCTAAATTGTTTCTGGCCTCCAGAAGTTGTCAGGCACCCCGTCTTCAATGTGTTAATACTTGTGAATCCTCCTCGAATCCTTTGTGGGCCAGCTCATTCACATTTTCACCATACCCAACTTACTTTCGTTTACCATTGACAAATTCCTGAGAACTCTCCATCTAGCATATCAAGATGTGTCACACCTGAAAAGTTGTAATTCAGCGCAATCGAATTTTGTTGCCTCGATACTGATGCTTTGGAGGTAAACGCGGTAAATGCGGAGGTAAATGGGCGGAATATATTATTTCAAAATGTCACGTTCTCCAAGAAGTTTATTTCTCCTAACGAATTGGACAAATAGAAAGGTGAAACATGTCACACGCATAACTGACGTGATGAGTTCAGGAATAATTCAACTTTTATCGTGCATCCTCTCAGATTCTGATAGCTACATTAGTAACAGACTCAATTCCATACGTTGAACGCCTGACTAAACCTACTGCAGCCACATGTGATGATTATACGATTGACAAGGGCTTTTACGAAAAGAAAGTTCTAGAGGACAGCTGGATTGCGAGCCTGGCTACTTTTTCATGGCCTGTTGCTTCATAAGCATACTTGATCATGAAAATTGAGTGTATTTCTCCATATTGCCATATGCTCTGCATCATTTGTACATCAAATCACCTATGAGAGTAAGGAGACACCGAACACTACTTTTGAGTTTGTTGATGCCACAGTTGCTATATGAAGAAGATGCAATGACCGTCAATGTCCAAAATCTTCTCCATCCTATACAGGGTGTTAAGAAAATTGTGTTCCATCGCAATATGCATATGACCTCAGCAAAAATATTTAAAAAAGGCAAGAAATTTTTTAAAATACACAATAACAAAGACAGTTAACTGATTTAGCATCGCTTAATAGTTTTCAATACAGCCGCCCTTGGCATGGATGATATGGCTCAGACGACTCATGGAAGCTTAGACTGATTTTCGCAAGACTTCCAGTGGAACTTGCCTCCCCCCCCATTCTCGGTTCAGGGATAGCTTTAGAGAATCCAAAGAACAGCGTTTTGTTGCTCATACTTTGCTCTCCAAGGTGAACCAAATTGGAAAATCTAAGTCTGATTTCTTTCAACCCACTCGGCGTTAAGGGGCGGCTTCTGTAATGGTCTGGACCGGGATTACCGCTTCTGCACGCACTCCGCTCATTTTCGTGCCTGAATAAATGAAGGTCAACGCTGAGGTATACCAGAAGAGCATCCTGGAAGACTGCCTGGTTCCGAGGGCCATGACATAT